AGACAACGCTTGACGACATTAAAAAAATATGTTTTGTATCAGTTCACTTATAAAAAAGTGATTAATAATTTTGTAATTCATCCACTTCAACTTTATCCCTTATAACATTTTAATTATCGTTATTCTTATCACATGTATATTATATTGGCTGAGCATTTATTTAGTACCACTTAATAACCTTTTTTCTGTAATATAAATACGACTGTACAGTTGGCTTGAAAATGAAGTCGTTGAAAAGGAATTTCTTCGCTGAACAAAAAGAGGAACTGTGTTTTTACTTCTGAATAAATGGGTTAATTTTCGTGAACTGATTAACAGGGCATAAATAGTCAGCCAACGTTTATTAATGGTATATATATGTTATGTACTCGTCGCCAAATTATTTTTTTGTACTGGTCGAAAATTTAATAGTCCTGACGCAAGAAAGATGGAAATCAGAAGACCACTAGGTTTGCGATGATACTTCTATTTTCCAAAACACAAGGAGAATCAATTCACACAAGAGTGTGCGAGCAAAAATATATATGAATGTCCAAACAAGTGAGTGAACAAATCAATAGACAGTCTTAACATGATTGGCTAATTATAATGGAGTATCGATCCATATATACATAACAAAATATAGCAGACATGTCAACAAACACACATATTATATATAATATAAGGGGAATATACATTGTTAAAGGAGACAGGTTCATCAAAGTGAAATGGTCACAGACTAAGAGAGCAAAAGAAAGACAGACCACCATATATATATATATATATATATATATATATATATATATGGATACATATCAATATATTATTATATGCATACATTTATTTTGTTTTAACTTAAACTGCCTGTGTACGAACTATATAAGCGCAATTTTCTGAGCACTGTTTACTAATTGTGGGACTTTCTGTCAATTGACAACATGTAAAATTTGCAAGTATGTTAAAATGTTTCTGTACTTAAACCTCATAATTTATTTAGGCTGTAAGCAGCTGATGTTAAGCTAATAAAATAAATGATGGTACCATATTATTCTGCACAAACCACCGTTGTTGTTCTTGTTTTATTCAAATTCATCAAGGGAATAAATGCATGAAGTATCTGCTTTGTTCCTATGTGTATCCTGAGTAAAACTCACTCATCAAACTATTCATATTATTACATAACTTCTTTTAACAACTGTTTGTGACAACTCATCACCTTTGTTACTATCCTAGTTTCATTAACACCTAATTTTTTTTTACTTGTATTACCAATCTTCGCCCGTTTAGTTAAAATAACCATAACCAATTGTACGTATTTTTGTTTGAAAAACTTAATGTACACATACATACAAAATAACACATATGTATATATTGCTGATTGTACAGCTGAGAAAATGAATTCGCCAAAAAGAGTCTCTTCGCAGATCTATGTGTGGTGTTTTCATAATGCCTGAATGGGGATTATCCATGTGATGCATTTTATCTTAATTTTATATTCCTGTACGCAGAGTATCCAGCTGAAAAGTAGTTCTACCGAAATTCGATGGATCCATTAACTTTTCCCTTTATTATCAACTTTTGTTGCTTGTTTCAAAACTCGTATCGGGAAATGGATATTTCTGATAATAAAGTTGTTGTTATCGCAGTTGTCGTCTCAGTCAAATCCGACTTATGTGTCTACCTCTCAGTGTGGCGGAATACTTCCGAGTGATCAGTTGGCTACAGTGTCATGACCGGAGACTCATTCCAGGGGTCAAGTAAAACAATAACAATCAACAAAACACTAATGCTCTATTACAACACAGTGGAATTATTTTTTTTTTTTTTTCATCATGAGCTGACATTGGTTCGAGAACCATTGGAAAACCTGGGAGTACTGGACAGCTGTTTCACCCTAGTTTGGGACTCTTCAGCAGTACGTACGCGCGGGGGTTCTAATCCAGTACCTCTTGGTTACAAGGCGAGCTCATAGACCTTTGAGCCACTGGGACCTGATCCAATGGGACCCAGGTTTTCCAGTGGTTCTCTAACTGATGTCAGCTCATGATGAAATACTTCATGCAATCAAACACAAAATATCCCTATTAAAACACTACTTGAAAACAGTGGAAATAGTTAAACAAGATATCCTGGTTTATGTAATACACTGCAATTATCCATCGGTCAAATATATAGGCCAAGATATTAGGAGGGGATCAATTAGATTAGTGGGACACAAGGCCCGAACCAGATCTAGGCTAGTTAGACTTGAATCGGATAACAAATCTAGATAATAGCTCAGCTACAGCACTATATGCAATTAAACACAATACAAAGGGACAAGATGATAGTCTTAGAATCTAATATAACAAGGTGGGAGGGGTGGGGGCAGATTGATAACTGAAGCCTTATTTATCAAGTCAACTGAAAAATACATGCAATAAGAATGATTCGACACCTACCTGTGCAGCACACGTAGAAAATTCTACTACCACTATGACAAATGAGAAGGAAGAAGGATGAGAACTATAAAAATCCAGCTTTCTATTCCTGTAGATACAACTGAGCTTGAGACTTCTTCATCCAGTGAATATTACTGTTTCACTGGTAGTATGCGTGTGATATCCAATTAATCAATTATTCTGGATTTACAAACTACCACAAAGCCTAAACTTTACATATTTTAGTCACCCTCCTCAATTAATATTTAATTTGGTTCCTATAGGTCCCCAGTGGAACATAGGGCTTCAGGATAGAGGCTTAAAGTTTCGGTAGAAGTGGTATTTATTTTTACGGGATGTGATTGATAGCCAGCCTCATGCCCAACCTTCCCTCTTTACCAGTCTTTTATTAGTGGCTTAGCGAGGCAAAGGAGAGCGTCGACCGGGAGCGAAACCCCGGACCACACGAGACGTGATCAGCGAACATTCTACTACTATGCCACCGACGCAAAAAGCCGGTAACACCCTCTATTCCCAGCCAGTCAACCATCCAAGTACTAACCGGGCTCAACGTTGCTTAACTTCGGTGATCGGACGAGGATCGGTGCTTCCAACGTGGTATGGACCCCGACAACAACCTATAGCCCGACAAATATTCTCAAGGGAACGCAAGTGGATTGGATAGGCATTGAGTGACTGACATCAGAGGCGCCAGTTCCCCCCAAGCAGAAGTCGAATGGGAAACGACTAGTTTGTTGAGGGTTCCAAAGGTGACATCTAAGCGATGATCATGTGAAGAGGAAATGCAGCCACCTAAAAAACACTGCTGAAAACAGGATGACACAGAGATGTACTGTTGGAGAGCTATTATTTATTTTTGATTACAGCTTGATTCCATACTGTATTTTTGGTACAATTATGGAATTTTCAGCATGGATATCGGTAGCCCAAATTTAGCAGGCCGACCATAGATATCAGGTGTGCGTCGGCGTGGGCTCGAACCCCGGACCATGTGCATGGTCGGCGGGAGTCCTAACCGCTGTGCCACCGACGTTCCATTCGGAGCCCATAGGAGTAATAATAACATATAACCATAATTATCTACCCGTTGTGCGTCGGTGGCATAGCGGTTAGGACGCTTACCGACCATGCACACGGTCCGGGGTTCAATCCCCGGCCGACGGACTCCTTTACCTCGCTAAGCCAGAAATAATGCTGATAAAGAGGGAAGGTTGGGCATGAGGCTAGCAACACCATCCTGTAAAAATAATCACTGCTACAGAAACTTCAAGCCACTAGCTTGAAGCCGTATGTTTCACAGGGGAATGTGAAGGAAAAAAATCTAGCCGTTGAAATAGCAAAATAGCACATTCAATACAAGCTTACCTTTCGGTCTAGAGTTCTTTGCATAAAACTCTGTCAGTATTGATAGAGCTTCAGTGGAAAAATACGTCCGTCGACGACGTCTTCGTTTTTGCTGTGGATCTGTTAATTTACACGCTGATTCAGAGACATCAGGACAGAGATTCTCTGAAACTGAAGAAGTACTACTTACATCATGATTATCACCATCATCATTGTTATTCTTAACCTGAAAACAAAAAAAAAAAACAAAACAAACAGACATACAGACAAATATTCAACTCAGAAAAATATTAATAAAACTGACTGTAAATATTTTTAGAAGGATATTCTTAATATGTAATACACACACTTTATGAAGTTAATGGACTAAACATTTTGTTTTTGGCAAACACAGAGAGTTTTTTAAGCTGTTAATGGTCAGCTATCAGCAGTGCCAACAAATGTTTATTTCATGAAGTAATTTAGTGGACGGTGACCAGCAGTGGAATTTTGTCCCATTTATAACTCTTCACCTGGATATACCTGCAATCTCCAATGATTGATAGTGTTCCTCCTGGAAAATCAGACCCAGTATCCATCATTTTTTAAACTTAAGATTACAAATACACCCAGCTGTTAAGTCCCGAATAGGACAGATTGCGCATCCTTGATTTTTTTGTGCGTCGGTGGCACAGTGGTTAGGACTCTCGCCGACCATGCACATGGTCCGGGGTTCGAGCCCACACCGACGCACACCTGATATCTATGGTCGGCCTGCAAAATTTGGGCTACCGATATCCATGCTGAAAATTACATACTTGTACCAAAAATACAGTGTGGAATCAAGCTGTAAATCAAAAAAAAATAAAATAAAATTACACCTGTCAGTCAGCAGCCAACAAACAAAATGCAGTACACTGAATACAAAGGTAAATCCTCCTCTGCTGTGCTACTCACTGAAGCTGGTGTCCCCCAAGGTGCTGTACTCTCCCCACTTCTCTTTTCTTTCTTTCTCTCTACATGACCTACCATCTTCAAATGAAATTAATTTTGTTAAATATACTAACGACGACCTGACTGTATCTTTGCCTGTCAAATGTCAAAGTGACTCCTCCAAACTAAGTGGCTTTTCATTAGAAATCAGCCAGTGGTCCAAGGAAAACGGTCTTACCTTAAATCCCTCCCTCTAAATGCCAAACAGTCAATTCCACCTTTAGGCATAAATCTAACCTAAACAAACTGGTTGGCACTCACGAGGTGTGCAACATGGATGGCACTAAAATAGAAACCAAGTCAGAAATAAAATAAATATCTTGGAGTCATTCTATCTGCTGATCTTTCCTGGTCGTCTCATATCTTGACGATTTCTAAGAAAATATTCCGTCTTATCTTCTACATGAAGAAGTTAAGGCATTCTAGCATAACCCAACCCAATCCTTACTCTTACAATTCGTTAACTCTTGCTTCCTGCCTATTATCCTCTATTGTTTCCCCTTAGTTTTTCCAGGGCTACTGAAGAAGGACTATACCTTATTAAGTAGGATGTTAAAAGTTCTCAGCAGGGTAAGCAACGTGCCACTTAACCAGCTTGCTAATATTCTGGTCAACAAGCACTTGGACTCATGTGAAAAATGGGCTAAATCCATTTTGTCTAACTCACACCACCCTCTTCATTCACAACTCTCCCCTTGTATCTCATCAGGCAGAACCAGAAGCCTATATGGAAAATTATATGCTCGCACTAACAAGTAAAAAAACTCAACCATACCCTACTTAGCTCGTGCTCTGTGCGATAAAGAAAGCTTTAGGCGTGATACCTATAACTTATTAAATAGTCAGTAGAACAATTGGATCTCGTCTTTCCAACTCACATCATTTACAGGTACAAGGTTTTCTTTCTTCCTTTTTCCTTTTGCTCTCTTTTTTTCTATTATGTGCTGTTTTATTTCTCTCTTACTTACAAACTCCAGTTAAAACATTCTTCTTCGTTCTTTCACACTCTGTATATCTCCACCTTTTTGTTACCGCTTACGCCAGTAAATATGCCAGCATCTACTTTTCTAACACCTTCAAAACACTGTTCAATTTTTGGCTTTGCTACCAACATACCAATATGTTGTTGTCATAATGAACTGAGATTTCCTTAATCTATGTAGAATTTTATTCATTGTTAATGTACAAACTGAATGCAATACTGTAGTGAAATGCTGAGAATCCCATTCTGTATCACAAGTACTGTTTTGGAATAAAGCAAATTACTATTATTACTTGATGTTAATCCTGAGACATCGCTGAAGCGGATGTACTAGAAGCAAAACTGTCAACAGAGGTCGAACACTTTAGTCCAAACGATCAACGGCGAAGTCAAAGTTAACTTATAAAAACAGGCTTATTTCACTCTTTCGTATACTTGTGGCGAGAGCTGGCTGAGAACAAACTAAAGTTGTAGACAACAATTTACGTCAGTGATCACGTCCCGAATCAGGGTCATGAGGAAAAAGGCGAGAACAAAGCTTAACCTTGACGAACTCACCAACCAACCACAGCAGACTTAACGTGTACAAACACGATTCGCAGATATATGGCTTAACTTTTTAAGAATAACTTTCAGCAGGAAAACAACCAATCACAGGAGAGCTTACTTCTTCGCTAACAGTAATGTACATAAAGATCTATAAATACCTCTTGATTTTCTCAATAAACGATCTGTTGCCTAGCCTTTGCCTTCTGTCGTTGCATGCTATTTAATACGATTAAGACTAAATTGAGATGAAAACGGAGACACAGGATAATCAAAGTCAGTTGGTGGAATCCATGATGCACATTTCGCCTGTCCAATTCACAACTCATCATCTGAGTGCACCTGCATTCCGCATTGAGTGATGGTGTCTCCACCGAGGCTCGAACACAGCACTCATAGTTTCAAACACCAAAGCGTTATCCACCAAACCAGTAGGGTCATGAGAACCACCTCTTGCGCAAAGGGTCTTCTTATTAATTATTTAATTCAATTTAGATTTCCCTATCGATTGACTGGACCGAAGTGCTCTATCTCACCATTCACCGATTGACTTCAGCCTACATGAACAGACATCGCTGAAGCCTCTGCAGCACTAGGAAGGAGCCGGACATGTCAACCTGAGACCGAGCATCGATCGATCCAATCAATCGGTGGAAAATCTAAACTGAATTAAACAGGATAATCAAAGTTTAATGTAGTACAATATAATATAATTTATATCATATAATAATATCAACAAGAAGGTATTACTTGTTTTGTCACAAGAGCCAAAACAGTTGGATTTTCAGCATTATTATCATTATTATCACTGCTATGACTTTGGCCTAGACGAGCTAACATTTTAACTCGAGCATTGCCTACAGCGCGTACAGGAATAGAACAATGGAAGACTGGTAATTTCTCTGTGACAATTTTACTGCATTGTTTTTGTTCAGCATGAGCAATCCAACGTTTTAAATAAGGTAATAATCGGTAGGCAGATCTAACGGTAATACTGAGTTTTTCAAATCTGAAAGTGAATAATACCAAATAGGTTATTAGTTGAATATATGCATATATGTAAGTTATACCAGAAAGAATATAAGGTGTGTGTGTGTGCGGGGGTGGGAGGGTCGACTGACTCACTAGCTGAGTTTCAACAGAAAACTTTGCACAGAAGTGCACCAGTTCACGTCGCCGCACTCCATGTAGCAAACAATAATAATAATATGATATCCTTTATTCCAAAAACAGTACTTGTGATACAGAATGAAATTTTCAGCATTAATCACAATATTGCATCTAATTTCTTCAAATTATAAATAAAATTAATCACACAGAAAATTTTCAACATTTACAATAGAGGTAATGTCAAAATCATGCAGCATATAAAATGGAAATAATAATAATAATGATAACAGCTAAGGTAATAATAATAATATACGTGAAAATTGCAGTGGGCTTGTTTCACACAGTATTGTCAATGCGGTATAGAAATCCTAGCATGTTTAAAAATATTGAATATAATGTTCTCTTTACATGATGTGATGAGGGCAAAAACAAGAATTACAGCAGTCATAGAGATAAGTCGGTGTTTGCAATTATGAGAGTAAAACAAAGAAGTAACAGGACCATAAATATAATAGAAATAATAAAAGTAAAACTTGAAGGTATATAAGGATGGATGGAGGAAATTGTTTATTTACTAAATGAGAAAAGGTTAGTTAGTTCTTGCCTGACACTATTTTCATCACATAAAATACGTGACAAGTATGGTATCATAGCATTCTTATACTTAGACGTGCGAGCATACAGTTTTCTGAAGTTACTTCTTGTTCTACCTGAGGAGATGCAAGGTGAAAGCTGAGGGTAAAGTGGATGCTCCAAGTCAGACAAAATCCCTCTAGCAAATTTATTGCATGAAGTCAAGTGCCTATTGACAACGACGTTAACTATGTGGTCCACTGGGACACCACTCACCCTACTAACAGTCTTCAGCATTCTACTAATTGTGACATAGTCCTTTTTAAGCTAACCAGGAAAGAATAAGGGTGAACAACATAGAAGAATAGGTAGGATGCAAGAGTTTATGAACTGTAAGAGGAGGGGTTGATTTATACCCGAGTGCCTTAACTTCTTAATGTAAAATGTCAGGCGAAATATTTTACTGGAGATTGCTAAGACATGGGAAGACCAGCAGAGATCAGAAGAGAGAACGAGTCCAAGATACTTAATTTCTGTTTTGATTCCTATATCATTGTCGTCAATCTTACAACTGTCATGAGAATCGATGACTTCTTTTAACTATCGTTTACATCTTAAGCTGAAATCAACAGTTTGACACTTAGAAGGATTCAGATTAAGACCGTTAGACTCAGACCATTTGCTGACTCCCGATAGAAAGCTATTTATTTTAGTACAATCTAGCTGGGAATTAACAGCCATTGAAACTGTTAAATCATCAGCGTACTTCACAAAGCTTATTTCATCACAGTAAGGCAGGTCATGTAAGGAGAAAGAAAAAAGAAAAGGAGAAAGGACAGCGCCTTGAGGGACACCAGCTTCAGTAGGCGACGGAGTGAAAGACTTCCCTTTATACACGCTGTACTGCTTTCTTTCTGAGAAATAAGAATGCAACCAGTTAACAACCCAACATTCTGTTTGACTAGCAGCAAGTTTATTTAATAAGATATCCCTAGGGACCGAGTCAAAAGCAGATGTATATTCTAGGAAGGCACAACGGACAAATTTAGCCTCCTTGTCTAGACTGGTAGATATATCAGAGAAAGAGATTCAAAGGAACTACGATGGGGGGTGGTGGGGAGAAATTTGAAAGGTAATCAATAGAAACATGGAAAAAGATGACGGTTTAGTGGATATCGCAGATCAGAAAGAGTGAATGCACGCATCTGGGCCATTAAGAACAATTGTGAGTCACATCACCAGTTGTCTGCAGTCATTGGTTTTTGGAATCTTGGAGGAACCCAGCCAAGCAATCCACACGAATGTTTGGCATGTCACGAATCAATTTGAAAAAATTAAGGATATTGATTTGGCAGGCGGTTACTTGTTTTTCACAGAAAATCTTCAAATGCAATGGGGGACAATGAAACACATTAAAATGAATGCTGTATGGTTTTACACATTACATGACACTGGCTAACTGACAGGCTCAGTTACAGGTGTCAAGGATGGATGTTTTGTGTCTTTTTTGAATTCCACTGTCGCGTAATACTGGTTAATTAGTGCTGCAAAACATGTTATCTGTGAAGCATAGAGTAGACTCCTTCCTGTAGCTTTATCAAGTCTCCCGCTTAAACTATTCCTCATAATTATAAAACGCAATTGGTGATCGCTTGTCAGGCTTCACAATTACATCACATTAATGATATTAGATAGTTGGAGACAATCGGCTACAGGAAGCCTTCGAGACTGACCTCCTGCAGGGCTGTAGTGGGTATTTTGATTAGACACTAGTAACTAGTGCGACGTGTTTAGTCGTTTCTTTGGTGCTTTCTCTCCTTGGTCGAAGAAGGCTTCCTGTAGCCGATTGCCTTCAACTATCTAACATCATCAAATCAATGTGCACCCTGATGGCTAGCGAGCTACCTAGGATGGTGGCCACATTGCAAACCTGATTGATTGATTGATAGAATTCAGTCTGCACCAAAGAAAGGACTAGACACGTTGCACTAGTTACTAGTGTCTGATCAAAACATCACCTTGATCTTAATTATACATATTCGGAACCATTGTGGTTAGTAGGAGTTGTAGCTACTGTTTTCCTGACAACGTAACTCAGAAAAATAACAGCTAAAACATTCTATGCTGCAGCACTATGTTTAAAACTCACCACCAATGCAGGTGATATACATAAGCTACAGAATGTGACCATTTTATCAATGTGTAGTGATAAATTTAACTGCTCTCTTAGAGACAGTTACACAAGTAAAACGACTCGATGAACCCAACGTCGCTTTCTTGAGTATTGCCGAGCGTGATTGGGTAAAGAAGTTGTAAAGTCAATCAGGAATTTCAAACTGGCACACCTAATGGATACGGAGCGCAGGATTCATAAAAATCAGTCCCTACAATTCCGTACAAGGTGCCACATCGATTCTTCGATCGGAATGAATAGCTGAGGTTAGTTACCATAAAAAGTATTCAACCCAATCTATGTGTTAAGAAAACGCTTGTCCATTCAGTCAGCCTTCTTCCGATAGTTTCCTTTCCCAATCACACTGGATGATTGTAAATATCATCCTTATTCGTACCTTTATAATTGCATACTTCAGTCTTAGTTTTACAATTTATTTATTATAAAATCAAACACTCGCTCATCTTTGGTTATAGGATTTCATAAGGAGCTGACATCGGTTAGAGAACTATTGAAAAACAGGCACTAGAGTACTGGACAGTTGTTTCATCAACCTAGTCTGGGACTCTTCATTGGTACACACCCACCGCCAGGGTTCGAAACCAGGACATTCCGGTTGCAAGGTGGAGGAGCTCGTAGGCCATGAAACCATTAAGACCTGTGATCCAATGGCTCATAAGTTCCAAATTGTGCCATTTCACGATATGGCAATTCAAAAGTTATTTTTCGCCTTCTACCACTACAAGTATGCATGTTTCGCTTACGCATTCACAATGATTGACTGACTAGACGATATAAACATGCATGAATTTATCCGTTTTATTATTATTATTATTGTTTTCCTTGAATTTAAATTCTGTTAAGTACATTTGTTTCAAACTTCTATGGATAACATTGTTTATCTGTCTGTTTTCAACATAGAACTTTGCACCGATATGCAGAAGTTCAAGTCGCCACACTCCCGCCTTGTAGCACACAAATCAATAGAAGAAAGTAGAAGAAATGCATAATAGAGACAGCAGACAGGGATACGAGATAAAAGGAATAGTAATGACGAAGAACAATGTAGTTTCATTGGAAATCTTAACTCACAAGGAGTGGATGCATCTGCTCTGTCATTGAGAACGATTTTGAGCCATATCATCAAATGCCTCCAGCCTTCATCGGTTTTTACCGTCCCGGGAAGTCTACACCTTCTTATGTGACTTAAACTATTTGTTGTAGATTTCGTTGACTGGTGCAGCCATGTTTTAGAGTGACCGCCGCTAGCCCTTTTCCAGCCTGATCCATCCTGTGTCAGGCAACATTGCCCGTCGAGGAAGGCGATGACTGGGCATATGTACCACATATCTTAACCATCTCAGTCGATGTAATTTCACAGCCTCGTCGATTGATTTCCCCTCCTTACCTAGAACTCGACAGACGCCTCAACACAATATTGCTCATCTTATTATACCACTTCACACGGGAGATAGAACGCAGGGACCTATGATCGAAGACAGCTAATCTTTTCATGTCTTCCACTCTCAATGGCCAGGTCTCACAGCCATAAAGGAGGACGGGACGGACTGATGAGCAGTACACCCGCCCTTTGGTCGATAGCCAGCCGGATATCACGTCTACTAAGCCAGAGACGGCGTAAACTGGCATATGCGAAACTAGCCCTCTGTATCCGTACTGAGATTTCGTTATAGATCAACCCGTTGGGGCTGATGGTACTTCCCAAATAAGTGAAGCGGTCAACGTGCTCTACCACTTCACTCCCTATTTTTAAACTAGTAGTCAGTGTAGTCCAGTCCTGTAACATCATCTTACATGAATAACATTGTACTATGTATTCGTAAAGTCTGACAAGCAATTATCAAAAGCACGTATATGCTAAAATTGTGTGTTCTCCAATTATCAAATAATATGAGTTAGAGAACAATTGAAAAAACCAGGAATCACTTCTGGATAGCTTTCCCCTCCGAATTTGAGACTTGTCAGCAGTATTCACTCATAAGTCATTCTATTAAGTGGTCAAAATGATGCGGACAGACTTCTCGAAGTCTAACTAACTGCGTCAATTATTTTTATCATCATCATTATTATTGTTAAGGATATAAATCGTTTCACCCCTGTCTTACTTCTGCGTTGAATTTTAGCCTATATCATCTATTGAACGAACAGTTGTACTGTGGTGGGTACTACTTATAATCCGATATAAGTAGTATATTAGTAAACGAATTCAGGAAAGTAACAATAATTGTTTTGGCCATTGGAAAAAGCAATCGAAAAACAGAACTAAAAGAGAAGAATGTTACAACACTGCAGAATCCAAAAGCTATCGAATGTATTGGGTGGTAGTCGATCAATTTGTAAATGATGTGCAAATAAAGGTTTAATCATAAGGTATACCAATGCGTTTGTGCCTAATGAACATGGCCTTCGAGCCTTATAGACCTTTTCCTCTTTACAATACTAGGATTATTCATTATACTCTCATAAAAAGGATCCGGTTACTAAATGTTTATTTTAATTAACTCTACCGCATACTACTTTGATTGTCAACCTCCGGGAAACTCCTTCAATGCCTTAACTTAACACATTATTTCAAACGATTATACTACTACGATCGATTAATTGTTATTGGTTTATTTGTAATTATCTCTCCTCAAAAAGTACACATGGCGCATATTTTGAAAGATATGTAGGGTATTCCTGACCGATGGCTGCTATCTTGACGTGGTGGTCGGGCTTGCATATCGCGATGACACGACAGGGTAAACTGGCTGGAACCAATGTTCCTGCAAGTCGACCATGCCAGGAAGGTTGTTAGGATAGCAATTAGACTAAAATCAGTTACCGGCATAGCGTAAGAATCTTTCTTGCACTATGCTGGGGGTCTTAAGGCGAAGTCGTACTGCTGGGGAACAAGGGTGTAACAGCAGTGGGGTGTTTCCCTAAGATAACCAACCAGCCAGCTATGCTGTCTCTCCACTCCGGAGAGAAGAGGTTAGAAAAGGTCGACCCCAGAAATTGTACATCCCGTAACCGGCAGTAAGTTTACCAATACAGAACCAATTCAAGAAACCAGTTCATACTGGCCGTGTATGACCGACCGGCCTCAAGCAGTTGTCCCTTGGGCTCTGTGGTCACGCAACACTCTTTCTCTTTCAGGTACCTGAAGAATCAATCAACTTCCACGGTGTGGGCAGGCGGGAAGTAACAACCGCCTACAAACTTCTAAAAGCACACGAAGACTTCCTGAACATCATTCTCCTTTACTCACATCACCTTCCTCGTCTTGCTTCTCTACTACAGTTAGTACTATTTTGCAGGCTAATGAGTCATCTTCACTTCACTCTGTGACCACAGAAAACGATGAGAGCCATAGAAACACCCCAGATAGCCTTTTAAAGCCACATCACCAACTTCATATAGGACTTCAGGATCCTCTGCGAAATCGGACAACAAGCATCACTAGCGAAAACTCTGGCATCTCGAACCATGGATGTATGTTGTGTTTCGGAGACACGCATACAAGACCCGAGTGTGGTTATTCACTTAACCTCGCCTGGTCAACAAGGTGAATCTGCAAAATTCACTTTAGGGCTGTCAGGAGAGCCCTCAACTAGCTTGCGAGGACTCGCAGGTGTAGGGCGGAAAAATCACTTCTTGACTGGATCCCAGTAGATAGTCGTTTGTGTGCGATTCGTCTGAATAGGTCCATTAAAAGAGGAAAGACGGCGCTACCCATAGTTGCCTTTTCGTAGTTCGTATGTAGGGTATTCAGGTGACGAGTTCTATTGAAATATAATATATTTATTAAATCCTGCTTATTATTTTAAATACCTGTTGGGAAAGAACTGTTTCTAAAAACTAATGCTCAGTAGCATAGTAGATCAAGAAAATAGACACATAGTGTTACTTCGAAGTGTTATCTAAAACACATATAGACTGACCTAGATAAAAGTGTTTGACTAAATATTGCTTTATTGTTATAATGCTTTGCTAGTTGTGAACTCAATTGTACTTGTGATAATCCCAGACGCAATCGAAACTGTCGAAAGTGATTAACAAAACGTTCCAGTTCGGATAAATTATGCCCATGAATAATAATCTCGTCACTCTCAGATGAATTTATCCTAGTTTTTGATTTCTCTAACAGTTCAGAAACTGGAAAGGAAAATGAATAATATAAGAAAACATAATAAACTATGTACTTAGATCACGATGAATGGAATGTGTTCGGTTACTTTTGCTGCTCAACAATTAGAGGTTATCAACAGAAAAGTTTCGTACTTACCTATTACTCATCAGTGGAGGAGATAAACAACTTTCAAGAAGTAGGTTCCTCCCAGTAAATTCAAATGTGTATTATTGGTGATAATAATTTTTTTCCTTCACGTTCCCCAGTGGAACATAGGGAAGGCTTCAAGCTGGTGGCTTGAAGTTTCTGAAGCAGTGTTTAGTTTTTACAGGATGGGGTTGCTAGCCTCATGCCCAACATTTCCTCTTTACCAGCATTATTTCTGGCTTAGCGAGGTAAAGGAGTCCGTCGGCCGGGGATCGAAGAGCTGGGATACTGCCCGAACGTCCAGGCTGAAGCACGTGGGGGCCAACCTCCAATCCTTTGTTTTGTATTCTGATCCATAAGGCAGTGAGTGATGCAGTGTCAGAAGTCGAGTCTCTATGGCTGTCAGTGATTAAAACAGTGATTTACACACCATTTTTAAGCCCCTTTGGACTCTGCAACTCTTGTATATAGCACAGATTTGGAATCAGCTGCCTTTCCAGTTGCCCTAAGTAGACTTGCATGGTCCAGACGTTGGCAATCATCCTTCCACTTTTGTGAGGAACATCCCTACTGCTAACCGCATGAGAGCAGTGGGTAGGAATTACCTGGCTGGGGCTACGGACGCATGACCACACATAAGAACATTTCGACAGGAAGATCAGTGTCTACACAACCTCAGTCGTATAAGGTCGTTCACAGGAGCCGCAAGTAATCTTCTAAGTGACTGAATGTGCATAAATCGACTAGTGTGTGAGTAGCATGAAAAAATTATCTTTGGGAACCACAACAACAAAAAATTAAAAATCAATGGTCACTTTATAAACGACAGATAGAAAGAGGTTGAACATGATTAATCTGCGATATTTGAAAATACGTTAGAAAATAATAAAAATTTTTTTAAAAAGCATGTTTCTGGAATGCAAAACTATCAAGACAAATCAATCAGCTGGCAAAACTAAGATTTGTCCAAATTAAACCATCTATTGATTACCGACACCATTTAAAAGCATTCGGAACCACGTAAGTGTCTATCTGTTTTCGACATAGGACTTGCACCGATGTGCGACAGTTTGAGTCGTCACACTCCATGTAGCACACAAAGCAAGAGAAGAAAGTAGAAGAAATGTATAATACAGACAGTTAACAGATGTGTGAGACAAAGGAATAGTAATAACGAAGATCAATACAGTTTCATTGGAAGTCATAAGGAGCGGATTATAATGGACCATAAAGGATTCACACGAAAAACACATCTGGAAACGAACGAACTAAGAACCTTTTTTGATTGGACACTAGTAACTAGTGCGACGTGTCTAGTCCTTTCTTTGGTGCAGATTGAATTCTATCAATCAGTCAGATTTGCAATGCGGCCACCATTCTAGGTAGCTCACCATCAAGGTGCACATTTTTTCCTTCACATTCACCAGTGGAACATAGGGCTTCAAGCTAGTGGCTTGAAGTTTCTGTAGCAGTGTTTATTTTACGGGATAGGGTTGCTAGCCTCATGTCCAACCTTTCGTCTTTACGAGTTTTTTTTATTTCTGGCTCAGCGAGGTAAAGGAGTGCGTTGGTGGCCGTGGGTCGAACCCCGGACCATGTGTATGGTCGGCGAGCGTCCTAACCGCTATGCCACCGACGGTGCGCATTGATTTGATGATATTAGATAGTTGAAGGCAATCGGCTACAGGAAGCCTTGGACCAAAGAAAGAAAGGACTAGACACGTCGCACTAGTTACTGGTGTCCAATCAAAATACCCACTACAGTCCTACAAGAGGTCAGTTGCGAGCCAGCCCGAATAGCTCAGCGGTAACGTCTCTGACTGCGGCACTGGCTCGTGACACGGGTTCGAATCTCAGAAGGGACATGAGTTCCTTCAAGGTTGCAGATACGCCTTGCTGATGAGTGTCAACTATCACGAAACCTAGGTCCAAGGCTTTCTGTCGATTGCCTAGAACCAAGAACCTATTGGCCGACAAAAAAAGTGGAAGAAAATGGAGAAAGATTAGATACACACTGTTAAGGTTACCGTTAAGTGACACCGTGCACCGGGCCGTCAAGTTGAACTTGAATGGAAACAGATGAGTTGGTCATGGATCCAAGGTTGATGTGGGGTAGATGAAAGCGTACGGGTAATCATAGAGCCAGGTAAAGATAACTGAAGAGAGCGGCATCAAATGGAGATATGCTGTTGAAGGCGTATGTTCTAATAATCGGAACCCCAGGGGATTATTAGTAATAATGACAATAATAGTAATAAGTAGTTAAAGATTCAGTTTATTAGTAAAACCTTTATTACCTATTTGTCCTAAGAATTTCGACCTTGTAGTAGATGGTGACTCATTGTCGACTTCATTTCTATGCAAGCTTTTTGAGTCATTTTCACATTGTCGACGAGGTGTAGTAGCAGCAACAGCCTGTTCCACATCTGAGTTGATCAATAACGTTGTTGTTGTCGTCGTCGTTGTCGATGATGAATTAGGTGTAGTCCATTGTACACCAGTTTGACTATAGCAAACATTTGTACGATCTGCAGCAGACGATGAAAGCTGTGCATCCAGATCAACACATCCGAATTTAGTCGGTGTACTCAAGTCGAATAGACTAGAACAACCATTCGTTGAAGTTGAAAACAAACAGTCTTCTTGATTCGAATAACCTTTATCCGAGTACACATTAATCGGTACGCCTGAAGTAGTTTGTGGAAATTTGACAGATGGAAGTTTCTTGAGAATATAACTTCCATTAGAATTTTCAACAAAAAAGTTTGCTAAGATAAGATGACCTGAATAATACAACGTGTAGTGAAACAAAAAAGAGGTAGTTGTAGTGTAAATACAATGGAAGGTATTACTTATACTAACGATTAAACATGAATTCTTGGTTAGGCTTTTTGGCTTTTGGAAGTGTGTGGGTGGTTTTTACTTCCCGCTGCCCACACCGTGGAAGTTGATTGGTTCTTCGGGTACCTGAAACCGAGAGAGGGTTAGTGTTGCGTGACCACAGAGCCCAAGGGACAACTGCTTGAGGCCGGTGACACACGGCCTGTATGAACTGGTTTCTGGGATTGGTTCCGTATTAGTCAACTTACCGCCGGTTACGGACCACCGTAGGTGGGGTAAGTCGGGATGTACAATTTTTGGGGTCGACCTTTTCTAACCCCATCTCTCTCTCCGCAGTGGAGAGACAGCATAGCTGGCTGGCTGGCATGCTGGTCATCTGAGGGAAACACCCCACTGCTGTTACACCCTGTTCCCCAGCAGTACGACTTCCCCCTTAAGACTCCCAGCATAGTGCAAGAAAGATTCTTGCACAATGCCAGTAGCTGCTTTTAGTCTAATCGCTATCCTAACAACCTTCCTGGCATGGTAGGACCTGCAGGAACGTTGGTTCCGGCCAGTGCCGCTTGTTGGGTTATCGCGATGTGCAAGCCCAACCACCACGTCAAGGTAGCAGCTATCGGTCGGGCTAACTGGGGATAGGCCGGAAATCACAGACTCCACATTAATTTGTTTATCAGAAATATCACACAGCGAAACAGTATAATTTACCAGACTACAGCTTTATACTATTATATGTAAATGTAAATTAGTCGAACAAAATCAAAATATTGAAGTGTTATGACTTGCAGGGATTTGATTTGATTGATTACAGGATTCCATCGTGAACTGACATCATCGGTTAGAGAACCATTGGAAAACCAGGACTGGACAACTGCTTCGGCCTAGTTTGGGACTCTTCCTCAGTACACACCCACCGGAGTCCCAGTGGCTTAGTGGTCTACGAGCTCACTCGCCTTGTAACCTGAAGGTCCTGGGTCCAAACCCCGGTGGATGCATACTGCTGGAGAGTCCCACACTTGGAGGGAACAGCTGTTCAGTACTCCCTGGGGGTTTTCCAATGGTTCTCTAACCGACGATGTCAGTTCATGATGAAATCAAAATAATTATTTGCAATTATTAGTTTGGAAATCAGTCAGTGGGCTTAAAGAATATAAATATCTTGTGGGAAAAGGGAGTAAAACTTTCATATCAATTATTTTGTTGGATACCACACGCACACACGCACAGTGAGACAGTATTATTTACCGGATGATGTTTCAAACAGTTTTGATTCGTAGTCATATCATCAAATGAAACTGCACAATTTCTAAACCTGATTTTTCCAATTCTCATCCTTCTTTTTGCCATTTGTAGAATTTTCCGGATATACGGGACAGCTGTTAAACTATTCCTAATGCAGGTGTTCTCAGTCAATTTGATAAATAAAGCGGACGTTTACATGTCTTATATTGAGAACCTGTCCCTTGATTTAATTTCTAAATTGCCCTTCTATAGGAGATATGTAGATGATATCATTTTGATATGTGACGATCATGAAGATGAGAGTCGTCTATTAGACAGACTTAACTTCGTACAGAATCATATTAGTCTTCTTTATGCGAGGAAGAAAGTCGCAACCAGCTTGCATTTTTAGACATACTTCTGAGTCAAAGAGATGATGGTTCAATAAGACGATCAATCTACAGAAAGCCCACTTGGACAGAGGAGTACCTCAATTTCCACAGTTTCTATCCATTACAATATAAGAGAGGCTTGGTGAAATGTCTGTTTAAGAGGATTCAACGTATTTTTACGGCTGATGTTATAGACAAAAATAACGAGATATTGATGGATACTCTTGTTGAAAAAGGATATTCTTTAAAAATTTTAAACAGGTGTAGAAGTCAATTAATCTCTAAACCTACAATCCATACCGCGACTAAGAAAAATGTTTCATTACCATATAACGGGGAAATAAACAGTAGGATTGTGAGACAAAGGTTGAATTCGATCATCCGTAGAACCTATTGAGCAGCCCAGCTTGTAATTGTCGAAAAAGCTAAAAATATGCTTCACTGCAAACCTCAAAAGTGCACAAGTGATTGTGTCACATCCCACACTATTTACCAATTTTCGTGTGTGTGTGGACATACATACATAGGGAGGAATAATCGTGCTTCGCATGTGAGGGTGGGGGACAGCGAGCATATCCCAAAATGGTTAGAAAAGCAAATGAATTGTGGTAAACCAACAGATGCATGTGTCAGACTACCAACTTCGTTTATAGCTAAACATCTAACCCAAATGAACCATAAGATTGATGTTAAATCAACCTTTAACGTCATCTACAAAAATGGTCAAGGGTGTTTACTGAAATACGCTGAGGCTATAGCTATTCATAAACTTAAGCCCCCCTTGTGTATTCAAAAACAGTTTATTATTACTCTTAACCCACCTTGGTAATCTTTATTTGATTGGTTTACCAAACGTTGTGTTAATCATCCTCAAATCTTTTTTTGTCACTTAGTTTAATTTAACTTTTTCATATATTTGAACAAGGCATCAAGACAAATTTCGCGAGATGATATCATTTCGTAGTTTCTTCACAACCGCTTTACAACTAACATGGTTAACAAGATTATAGGTTTCCAGACCGTAGGTGTTACGAATTTCCTGGAATAATTTGAGCGCCGAGTCAGATTGATTCATTATAAATTATTTAAATTAATCCCAGCGTGTTAAATCTTGTCTTGATTTTCTTAACACGCTGGGATTAGTTTTAAAAAATTTATAACAACATGGTTAACAATAATAAAATAAAGTTCATGAAAATTACTCAGTTAAATAAAAACAAAAGTACATACTAATGACCAATCATATGAAGATAGGTTATGCAGTCCAGGGTAGGCGAAGATTGAAGTCTATTGATTTTTGTTAGTTGTAAAGCGGTTGTAAAGAAACTACGAAATGATATCATCTCTCGAAATTTGTCTGCTTAATGCCTTGTTCAAATTTATCAAAGGGACTAATTGTTTTAATTTTTCATATATGTCGACTTGATAAAGTAAATGTATGAGGGATCAGATTATTCGAAATGTATAGCACAAATACATCGCATTTTTCAGATAATCTCCGTCTTCTAATAACGCTATCCAAATAAAGCTTCACTTATCAATCTTTTCCCCTCCATCCTACTACATTAAATTTTTAAGACTGCAATTTTATCCCATCTCATTGTTTGACTGTGTGTAACTGAATGTAGCGCTACAGTTGAGCTATTTTCTAGATTTCGTATCTTATCACAGTCAACTAGTGTTCAGATTTCACTAGGTTTTTGTGCTCCAATAATTTAGTTTACCCTATCCTACTACCACCTTGACCTAGGTATTTAAACTCATGATCATTTCAGGGTATTTGATAAACTGAATTACTCCGTTTAATAGGCTCTACATTGTCCCTTAAATGGTATCATTTGTTTTTAATTGAGTTTGTGGATTTGAAAACAACCTTTATTCCTGCTGCGCTAAGACTTCTATGTAGGACTTCAGAGGTTCCCAGCTTTTACAGAAAGCACTACTGATGTTTTAATTCCCCCTAGTGTTGGTTGGTGTTGCCGTCTTTCTGTGTATGTTTGTTATTCATATTCTACTTATTATAGAATTCAATAACAATATGTACAAAGCAAAAGCCTGACAATTACAAATGTACCTGAGCTGTTGTCACCAACCTAGAAAAACAAGAGACTTCAGTCAAAAAGCTTTAGGATTTATCAATTCCACTCAGGTAGTTTAAATTGACTGATACTGCTCAAGTTAGCATCCAGTTTGCATTCAATTACGTGGAATCTAGCTATGAGCTAAACATAATGTTTGAAGGGCTGATGATGCTACCCAGTTGTTCAGCCTGAAGTAGGTAGACCAGGAATGGAACTTAAGACTAACTGGTTGTAAATCGAGTGATTAAGCCAATGAGTCAGATATCTAAAATTAACCTTCAAGATCCACATAAATTGGTTTAATGGTTCGCTCTACAGATACAAAGGTTAAGAAACTAAATTTGGGTTTGCAAAGTGGTTTCTTAGGAAATACTCACAAATTTTTTACCTATATAGTAGTTACAAAAATCAGGAGCTCGCCAACATTTTTATGCTAGCCGATCTAAGGATATTTGCAACGTTCCTTGAGATCTTTCCTGTAATAAGTAGCATGTGATTTACACCTGACAGAATTGATATCGGACTTCATGAAGTGACAGAATAGTCAATGAATGACTGAACTTCGTACTAGAGTGCATCAATTTAAGTTGACGCATTTATTCAAATAACTCGAAGCAGACATATATATATATATATATATATAATATAAACTGATTGCACACTAGTCAGTAACCAGTGTAATGTGTGCGTGTCTAGTCTTATCGTCGATGAGGGCTGAATTCTATCAGTCAAGCTTGCAATATGGACACACCATGCCACTAGGTGGCTCACCATCACAGTGCAGTGTGAACTGTCGGTATTAGATGGTTGGAGGCAATCGGTCACAGGACGCATTCGACCGAGGTTTCGTGCCAGTTGGCACTCATCAGCAATGCGCATCTCCAACCTCGAAGGAACTCACTCAAGGTTGCAGATACGCCTTGCTGATGAGTGCCAACTGGCACGAAACCTCGGTCGAATGTGTCCTGTGGCCGATTGCCTCCAACCATCTAATATCAACAATATATATATATATATATATACTATGCACGTCAAAAGGATAATTTAACTGTCTCATTAGTCCCATCACCGAATAAATTTGCAATGGAATTATACTCAAACACACTGTTCAAATTCTATTCTTATATATGTCTCATTAGTGAATTCCTAAATGTAATATTTATTTGCTAAAACATTGTAAATATGCAATCTTACCTACTTCAGATATATAGAATAGAATATCGTTTGTCCCAGGGAAGGAAATCACATCCGAGGATAAAAAGACACTATTATACATTGTATTTGAGTAAGGATCTCCGAAAGAAGTATCGTTTACACTTGAAAGATCCAGAGCCATTATCTTAATTAATATGCATTAACCTATAGAAAAAGAAAAATTTACAATCATCTCAGTCAACAAAACTTCTGACATGAACTAATATTAGGACTTAGTGGACAGATGTGGATCTGTTTGGCTGTTTTCAACATAGAACTTTGCACCGATGTACAGAAGTTCAAGTCACCACACTCCATGTAGCACACATAGCAAGAGAAGAGAGCAGAAGAAATGCAGAATAGACACCGTAGCCAGAAATATGAGACAAAAGGAATAGTAATGATGAAGAACAATATAGTTTCATTGGAAATTATAAGTCACAGGGAGTGGATGCATCTACTCTGTCCATAAGAGCAATTTTGAGCCATATCATCAAATGTCTCCAGCCTTAATTGGGTTTTACCGTCCCGATGACCCCAACCAGAAAGCCAATCTACACCTTCCTACATGGCTGGCTGGCTTAAACTAACTGTTGTGGATTTCATTGACTGGTGCCACGTTTTGGTTTGACCGCCACTAGCTCTTTTTCAACCTGATCCATACTACGTCAGCTAATATTGCCTATTGTCGAAGAAGGCGATCGATGGCTAGCGGTGCACACGTAACACATGTCCTAACCATCTCAGTCGATGTAATTTCACAGCCTCGTCGATTGATTTCCCCTCCTTACTTAGCACTCGACGCCTAACCTCAATATTGCTCACCCTATTATACCACTTCACACGGGAGATAAAACGCAGGCACCTATGATTGAAGACAGCTAGTCTTTTCATGTCTTCCAAAATATGTGGATAACATTTAGCTAGTTGAAAATCAGTTAAATTAAGAGCTTTTTGATATTAAACTACAATTTTAACTAAAACAACAACAAAGGCATGTACAGAACAAAAAGAGGCTGACATTTTTCATTTCATATTTTCCCGCAGTTTATAACAGCCTAAAAATCAGATGCTGTTATAAATGTAAATAAGTAGCATCAAAATTGTCTCTTAATGAAACCGAAGCACAAATAATAGTGAAAGCAACTATCTGACATACTAATTAATTTCACTGACGACGACTATTCGAATAGTCGATACTCGTCAGCCATCTAGTAGGCTAGTTACTGCTTTTGCTTTGACCTAACTATACTCATAAAAGCATTTTGAATAGATCAATGAAATCCTGATAATTTTTATTTCTTATGCAATAATTAGACGATATTCTAGTGAATATCTGTTGACAATAAATTGTCATTGTTGGAATACGAAAAATACTTACCATATCTATTTATTTAAACGCAGAAAAAACTTGGTATAATATGGCACCAAGAAAGATGCGCCACACAATAATAATCCAACAATATAGGTCAAAAGTAAAAAATATGAGTAGAGAACGGATAAAGAACTTCATCTGGAAGGAAAACAGTCATACTTAACAAGTTCAAACAGTATTCGTTAACTATCAACAGGAAGGGAAGAAAGGAGGAAATTGCAGCACGTTCGCCATTGATTACGATTCTTGACCATATCTGATAACGTTTCAAGCCATCGATTCGGGCTATCTCGCGGACCCCAACCAGGGAGTCGTGACCCACCAACATCCCTCATCCCACTACGCCACATCATGGATGATCACCCCTTCGTCTTTTCCATCCCATCCCAGCTCTGGCTAGCAAACAGAGACCTGTACGGAAGCCTCTGGGATGACATTCGCAACACATGTCCAAGCGACCGAAACCGGTATTTCCAGATGACGACACTCAATGAATGGTGATCTCCACTGTCTTCAAACACACGCCGCCGAACCTCAGAATTACTCACGCGATGATGCCATCGGACGCAAGCAATCCTGCGGAGACAGCGACGATCGAACACGCAAAGTCGCCGCACATCCCCAGCTCGGACAGGCCAGGATACTTACCATAACAGAAATGTGTATAAACGAATCACTCACGGATTCTGATAGGAATATAGGCAGTGTCACTACTTAATAATGATGATATTACAGTCGATGAAAAAGAATTTGAAATAAGGGAGAGTACACAAAATTAGTATTTTTAATATATTTATGCGATGAAGTTTCTGTAGCAATTTGGTTAAGTTTTGGGGGTGATGTTGCTAGCACCACGCCCCAACCCTTCCTATTTATCCGGGCTTGGGACCGGCTAAAATCTAGCGAGCTAGTAATCTAGGTCGAAGAAGCAGCAAAGACAGGATTCCAGGGGGAACATAGACAAGACAGAGGTCATGAAAATAATCAACCAACCAACAACAACAGCAACATCCAGCGCCAATCACCATCAACGGGAGGGATTTGAAAGAGGTCACTTCATTCACTCACTTATCTAGGGAGCATTGTCTCAACTACAGAAGGAACGGACGGGGATGTCAAATCGAGAATCGGGAAGGCGAGCGATAAACACACTCATGAACCTGAAACCAATCTGGAAATCTTCGTCACTCAGCCAGCATCAACAACAAAATTCGGATTTTCAATACAAGCGCCAAGTCAGTCAGTTTTTCTATACGGATCAGAAACTTGGCAGATCACAAAGAATATCTCCAACCAACAGGTTGTAGACCTTTACCAACAACTGTCTTCGGTCTATACTGAAGATCAGATGGCCGGGTCGGAAAGAATCACCAACAAGAAACTATAGGAACAAACAAAACAAGAACAAACCAATCGCCAACCAACAAATATGCAGGAGAAAGTGGAGATGGATTGGACACTCGCTGAGGAGGCCGCTGGGTGACATCGCGCGCGCGTCATGCCATTGCTCGAGTGGAACCAGACCGAAAGGGAAGCGGCGAGTAGGACTTCAGTGCAAGGGTGACATGGAGGAGATCGTGTGAAGAGGAGTTGAAAGAGTATGGACTATCATGGATGGAGGTGAAAAGTACAGCAGAAACAAGACAGAAGTGGCAAGTGGAGACGTGCAGTTGAAGCCCTATGTTCCACTAGGAACCAAAGGAGGCAATAGTAATAATAATAACACAAAATTAGGCTAAAGAAACGTCTGATATTTTGAAAACCATTAAAAATGAACAGGTGTACACCTCTCTAAACGATCACAAAATGTACCATTAACCTCTGTATTTTCAATAAGAAGAAAACGAAGAAAGCCAATCAACTTATACATGCTCACATTGTCCACACAATGGGTTTGACAGTTTGTGAACTTGTTTGGTTTACGCTGACCTACTTCCACTATGCATAAGCGTTGTCTGTCTGTCTGTTTTCGACATAGAACTTTGCACAAATGTGCGGAAGTTCAAGTCGCCACACTCCGTGGCGTTAATAAAGATGATGTAAAGGTAGAGGTAGCCTATGTTACAATCACTAGATGAATTTGACAACCTACTTGGTTGTAAGCTATACTGGTTAACGTGGATCACACTTACACCTATTTAATTCCCACTGAAAAGTAGACTGGCATTTAAAATGTGGTTTGTAGTCACAATTGAAAAGATAGCTCGGCTTAGAGCGGTCGTTATCTCAAATACTCTAGCTTTACAGCCCTATTAAATTGTGTAACTAAATTTAGTTACACTGTGAAAGTTCAATAATCTGTGTTCTAAATAAGCTCTACACGACCTGGACATATGCGTTGTAGCATTTTTTTTCGTTTTAAGTTGGTTACGTCATCTTTATCTTTGCTTATATTTTTCTGCATAATCTGTCTAACCATACACATAAGCATAGCCGCATAGAAAAAATGCTTATTTTGAGGTAGGTAAATGCACTGATAGAGGGAGAAATAAACAAAAATATCTCCGTCTTCCCCAAAATTTCTAGGTTTTCTATGGAACTGCCTACTCAAGTCCGTATGACTTAAAGGGTTTTCCCAAAAAGTATATTTAGCAATTATGGTATTAGGTACATTAATTATTAAAAGCAAATTATTTAAGAGTTAAATTATGTCTACCCTAGATAACGACCAAAAAAGTGCCCCTAGGCAAACAACCATTAAAGCTTACAATAAAAATGTATAATTCGTAGATTTTCTTTGGTAATGAAAGTAGGTGGTAAGGTGAATAGCTTTACGCAGTAATGACATCTTATATGTCCTAAGAATGTCTCACTGTTCCTCAATGTAGACCTTACTGTTTGTCCAAAAGGACTTCGGTACATGAATCCATCGAGACGATTGCATATCAAGGTATATTATATACCATAGTTTATTCCCAATTTTCCGCGTCTTTGACCGAGAAACTCACTTTTTCAAACATTTTCCATGTGCCTTGAAAAAATATCTACTTTTTCCAACTTTACCCGTATTACTTCCAAAAACGGCCTACTTTCTCTCATCTTCGAAAAGAAAATCGCCCAAGTCTTTACTTACTTTACTCATGTCTACGCAAAAATTTCCCTATCGAGAATTCACCGCTAGAAGCCCACCAGTGAAACAATCATATATAGTTTTGGTCGCAGACAATTTTAAATTTTCAAGGGAAATACCTCAGCAGAGGTGAACTGAGAAAATGCATGAATTACCCTCACGTCCCAGCTAGCATTGTTTTCGGGCGCGTTGCAGACTTTTTGGGCCAGACTTTGGGAGCATTGCAGACTTAGGGTAAATTGCCGACTTTTGGGGGACAGACTTAGGGCGCATTGCAGACCTTTGTGGGCAGACTTAGGGCGAATTGCAGATCTTTTGGGGCAGACTTCGGGACACTGTCCCACGTAAGTAGATCTACCCGAAGGTTTTGCCCCAAAAAGACTACAATGCGCCCGAAAAGAATGCTAGCTGGGGCATGGACTTTCGACAACGGAAATCAGGATATCTGTATACATATCAATATATTGCAGCCAAATATCCATATGATATCACTACTCCTTTACATCGACATGTCTTATTCATGTTTGTTATCTTATTATCCAGACAGCAATACGGGCACAGCTCACTCCCAGCTAGCATCTTTTTGGGGCGCATTACAGACTTTTAGGGACAAAAAACTTCGGGTCGATCTACTTACGTGGGACACTGTCCCGAAGTCTGCCCCAAAAACTCCGCAATTTGCCTTAAGTCTGTCCCAATGAGTCTGCAATTTGCCCTAAGTCTGCCCCAAAAAGTTGCAATGCGCCTTAGGTATGCCCGAAATGTCTGCAATGCGCCTCAAGTCTGCATTGAACCCTAAGTCTGCCCCGAAGAGTCTGCAATGCACCCGAAAAAAATGCTAGCTGGGCGTTCTCCTAAGTCGTCACAAATGGAAAACTATGGGGCAACTTTACAGCGATCCAATGCAAAACCTCCGAGTAGGTGCATCATTTCCCTCAAAAATCCATAAATAAGGCCAAAAGTCCCCAGAGCCTCTAAATTGCCTCAAAAATTTATATTCAGGCATACTTTACTCTAACATCTTCAAAGATACCTAAATAATATTCAGAAGCACCACTTTGTGCAGAAGATAGATGCGAAGGCAAGAAACCGATTCTTATGAAGTTAACCAGAGAAATACTGCTCTAAGCATTATGAAGGATATGCTTCTTTTTAGATTAGAATATATCCTTTACCTTTATTACAAAGCATCTACATATCATCAATAAAAAATAATATAATTTTCGTTTTTAATTTTTAGTCTAACACATAAAGGTAAAGTTCACTACCATTTTTTGACTTACCAATTAACCTAGTAAAGACCAAACGACCTTGAATATCATTCATAAACGGCACCCATTTCAAGGTTCTTGTACTCAGTCTCGCATTCACGAGCCAGATTCAGATTTCAGATTCAGATTTTTTGTTTGAGGATAGAAGGCTTGCAGCCTATGTTAATCCTTTTCTAGTAGATTTCTGTGGTTGTCCAAACCCTTCTTGAACGAATCAATTGAGGTTGCAGATACCACTTCTTCTGGGAGTCGGTTCCAAGAGTTTATGACTCGATGTGAGAACCAGTACTCAACAGCAATATGATTTCTCCTTGGCTTTTGAACTCTCCTGCTATGTCCTCTAAGGTGTTCCGACCTGGTGGGAAGGAAAAGAGAGAATAGGTCAGGTCCGTAGTCATTATTTAAAATTTTAAACATTGTGATTAAATCTCCTCTCTGCCTACGGTATGACAGTGAGAAGAGATTTAAACTATCTAGTCTTTCCTCATATGATAAGTTAGCTATGCCGTGAACCATACGTGTTGCCTTCCTTTGAACACTTTCTAGAATGTATGAATCCCCTTTTAGACACGGACTGGCGGCCTGGATGCAGTTTTCCAGTCTTGACCTAACCAGAGATGTGTATAAGGAGGTGAACATATCTCTGGTAATTCTTGTAAAGGCTCTGCGAATCGCCCATAAGGACCTGAAACTACGTGCAGCCACCGCGCGACAGTGTGCTGTAGTTTTTAAGTCGTGGCTAACTATGACACCTAAGTCCAAGTGAGTCTGAACTGATGGAAGTGTTATTCCCTCTAGTTCGTAGGAGCTCGTGCTTGCTTGTCCAATGCGCATGGTTGCACATTTTGCCACGTTGATCGGGAGCATCCATTCAACAGACCACTCCGACAGTTTGTTGAGGTCGTCTTGCAAGGTGGACGTATCACTGTTGCCCTTCAGCTCCCTCCAAATTTTTAAGTCATCTGCGTATAGGACCATAGGGGAGTCGGTCAGCAGAGGTAACTCATTGATATACAGAATAAAAAGGAGAGGACCGAGAACCGTGCCTTGTGGCACTCCGCTACTTACTGCTGTCCAGGAGGAGAGTTTTGAGTTGATCCTAACCCTCTGCCTCCTATCTATGAGGAATTCCCTAAGCCAGTCTAGTAGTCTGCCTTTGATACCAAGACTTTCCAATTTCATGAGTAGTCTTTTGTGAGGTACTTTATCAAAGGCTTTACTGAAGTCTATGAAGACGACGTCAACGGGTCTTCTGTCATCCTTTGATTTAACCCAGCTTTCTCTTGCAGTCAGGAGATTTGACAGGCATGAGAGGTTCCTCCGGAAGCCATGCTGTGCTCCAGATAACAAGCTGCTATTTTCCAGATAAGCCATGATGCTTTTCTTGATAATTCTTTCCAGTGTCTTGATTAAAGTGCTGGTGAGACTGATAGGCCTGTAATTTGAAGGGCTTTGTCTTGATCCTCCTTTGTGTATGGGAGTTACTATGGCGTCTTTCCAATCACGTGGCAACACTCCATTTTGGAGAGATAGCTTGAAGATCGTGGCCAAGGGGCCGGCTATGTGGGCTGATAGCTCCTTGAGAAGCCTTGGATGAAGACTATCAGGACCCATTGATTTTCCTGCATCTAGTTTCATTAAGAAGTTGAGCACGATGCCTTGGTCGATGTCAACGGAATCTATCCCATGTTCTTCTGATGCAGCCAGAGCTGATCCTATAGGCAGTGATGACTCCTGAGTGAAGACTTGGGAGAAGTAGTTTGCCATTGCTTCTGCTTTTTCTTGATCTTCTTCGATTGTATCTTTGTCAATAATCAGGTTTGGGACACCATTGGGTGTTTTATTCCTGAAATTCAAGTACGAGAAAATTTTCTTAGGTTGTGCCTTTGCATTTTGGGCCAGGTGTGTCTCGAACTTCATCCTTGATTGGCGGATTTCTGCGATAGCTTTATTTCTAGCAGTAGTATATAATTCCCTGGTCTCAGAAGTCTCAAGTGTTGCAAACAGGTTCCAACATTTGCGTTTACGTCTGAGTAACTTACGAATCTCCCGGTTTATCCAAGGGGGGGAATGTTTCCGACCCTTTGGAACAGACCAAGGGATGAAGGGTACAGTTACTTGGGCGTAAAGTTGCTTAAATTGGTTCCATGCGGCTTCTACTTGGGACTCTGGATTGATGTACCAGTTTACTGAGTTGGCTGCTGAGACGATCGCATTTATGTCAGCTTTCCAAACGTTTGGTCGAGCTGGGGTTTTGGCCCTTGCTGCCGTTGCTGTGAACTTGAAGGTGAGCACAGCATGGTCACTTCTTCCTAACGGAGGAAGGTGTTGTATGAGATCCACATCCTCACCGTGTGAGAACACTAGGTCCAGAGTTGATGAGGAGTACTGTGAGTCATAGCGCGTGGGCTTAATGATATGTTGGACTAGGGCTAGCGATATACTAGATTCTAGCAGTTTGTGGTCAAAGGAGTTGACTGAAGATGGAGTTGTTAGGCTCGACCAGTCAACTGTTGGGGCGTTGAAGTCACCGACTACGAGACTTCGACATTTTGAAGTCCAGGAGCCTAGCTTCCCTATTAGGAAGTCGTCTGCACTGCAGTCAGGACTGCGGTACACAGCAATGAGGTCAATGTCTTGGCCTATGCATTTAAGTCTGCAGCGTAGAAGTTCGCACGACTCACTTTCGTGGGCGAGTGCTTCGATACTACGCACGGTTAAGCCTTTCTTGAGGTAGATGACTACGCCCCCTCCTTTGCGGTTTAGTCGGTCTACCCTGTGCACTTCGAAGTTTGGCAGGTTAACTTCGTTGTCTGTGACATCGGGTGTGAGCCATGTCTCTGTGATAATAATTACATCCGGGTTTCCGGTTTCTATCATGTTTGCCAGCTCAGTCCTTTTATTTAACAGGCTGCGGGCGTTTGTGTAGCAGACTGTTAATTCAGATTGGTGCTTCCCCGGCCCACCCACAGAGGTTTCGGGATCATTAAACTGCGAACTCGGACAACCCGAAAACCCTTAATCTTAAGGTTCTTTTCACCGTTCCGGCGTCGCTCACTTAATTCTAGTGCCGCAGCCTGTCTTTTGACACGATCTGCCAGGCTTAAGTCAGCGCGGACATATATCCCTGATCCTTTGAGAATATGAGAGTTGCTTAGGATAGCGTCCCTCTCCGCTTTAGAGTTTAGTACGACTTTGAGGAGACGTACAGGTTCACTTACTGTAGGGTCAGGCTTTTGACCTATTCTGTATACGCTGTGTATAGTAATGCCTGATACTGTTTGTGGCAGTAGCTTGTCTAAAAGGGGCTTGACCAAGTTAAGGTCATGCTCGAATCTGGTCTTAGGGTCGAGAGCCAGTGACTCCTCCACTTTGTGGAGAATGAGAGACCTATCAGAGAGATCGGGTTTGCTTTCCGTTACTTTCTTGCCCTGAGGCGTAAGTGTGTTTCTATCCTTCTTGGGCGGTGTGGCCGAAGTGTTATCCTTATCTCGCTTTTTGCGAGAGACTACGGTGCGCCATTCATTGGCGTCCTCCTCGCTAATCTTAGTGGGGTTCGTCTGTCTGCTGCTCACCGGTGTGGATGAGGCTTGTTCCGCCAGTCCCTGGGCGACTGGAGCTGCAGGTTTTCGACCCCTAGTACGCCTCTTCTTCACGGCAGTCTTTCCATTACTGTCACTGGAGGGCTCATCCAGTATCGTGGGGGCGACCTGGGTGTCTGTAATATGGTGGGTGTTCTTCTGTGCTGTAGAGCACTCACTTATTGGCAAGGTCGCATCTGGGACATGTGCTGTTTTGTCAATGACGCTAGTCACGTCATCGCTATCTGAGCAATAGTCGGTATTCTTCTGTGGTGGAGGACGCTTGCAGTCCATGAGCTTTAAAGCCCCACTAAGAGTAGCTATGGCTTCTGTAATACGGAGTTTAGTTGTACTACAGCAGTCGTTGCATAACCAGTTCGCTAGAGGTTTGCAGCAGCGTTTGTATGCTGCTGGAGTAAGGTTCGTGCACATACTGTGAAACCATCTCTTGCAGTTATCACACTGCATTCCCTCATCCACTGGAAACTGGCACATAGCCCTTCCGCAGCGGTTTCTTTTAATAGGCATTTTATTTAAAACGAACCAGGAAAAGTTAAATACAACTTCAAATATATATATATAACCTTTGTAAATCAGTGATAAAAGCTAATGAGTGCACAAAGATAGATATATGTGGCTATTATGTTATAAGAACACTTATTATAATTAATAGACTCAGATCTGAAACGTAAACTAACTTCGACCAGAATAAACTGATTTAAAGTTAAATCTGTGGACTTTTGAAGCGTATAACACAACAAAATCCAATTATAAACAAGAGCGTGAAAATTAACTCCCTTTTCAAAGTTTCAAAGTTCATAAATGATATTGTCTCTATGATCAAGTATGGCAAGCCATACCTCTTTGCAGATGACCTCAAAGTTGTCTATGATTTTGACTATAATGATATGAATATTGTTAGTAAAATCCAAGAAGACCTAAATAGTCTATGTAATTGGAGTGAAAAGTGGCAGTTAACGTTCAATCCAGCTAAATCTGGGATAACATACTTCGGACGTTGGAAACCTAGCATGTGTCTATACATGTACGGTGACCTTGTCTCAAACACAAACACAGTCACAGATCTCGGGATAACATACTCAGATCTTACCTTTACTGAACATGCAAATAAGGTGGTATCTGACTGTAAACGTCTAACCGGCTTTGTGCTACGCAACTTTTACGCTCCAGAAGCCAGATTAGCCATATATAAGATATGCATTCGCCCCAAACTTGAATACTGTGCCCACTTATACAGTAGCTTTAAATCAGCAGACAGAAAAAAAGTTGAAAGTGTCCAAAGATTCCTTACGAAACGCATATTAGGCTATGGTCAGCAAATAGAATACCTTGACAGATGTATTCGACTGAACTTAGAGCCCTTATGGTTAAGGAGAGTGAAGTGCAATTTATTTCTCTTATTCAAAGTTATAAGAAAGCACTGTAACAGTAACTCGTCCATAACCTGGGCTAATCCTAAATCGTATGGACTACGCAACCACAACTACCTTCTCAAGGTTAACACCCATAAACTCACCACTAGAGCTAACTTCTTCACCATTAAATATTGCAAACTTTGGAGCCAACTACCCTCTGAGATAAGATCCTGCGAAAGGCCTGACAGTTTCAAAAGGAGCCTAGAAAAACATATAAACATGTCCACCCTAGCCCGCCTCAAAGATCTCAACTGCTGGTAGAGTGGAGAGACAATGGCTTTTCAATATTTAACTACGGAAAGTACACTAGTCCCAATACCAATATAATAACACTTAGTAATTATGTAGGTTCAATACTTGAAATTCGATTGTCATTAAAATACCTAAAATGATTAAAATAGCTATGCGGCAAGTGTTCTCTTGCTTTACCATGCTTGTTTCCCTTATAACACTCAGTTATTGAGCCTAATGTATTCTTTGATAATACGAATTATGACACTGACTATGCTCTTATTATACATAGATTGATTTACTTTACGACTACCTGTAGTACTAACTACCCTTCTGTAGTATTGTTGAACAAATGCTGAAATTTTGTTGGTTCTGTTAATATCTTTTTATAATATATGTAGACAGGTTACTTTGCAATGTCAAATGTTGACTATATATAAGACTGTCATGATAATTTAGTACACTAAGTCCTGCCAACCGACCTTACCTTCAGTTCATACTACCTACATTGATCCCTAACTATATTGTTCTGCTTAATCTTGCTTCACTATTCACAAAACCTATTCTTTTTATTCTTTAAGGTTCTAACTTCTTGTAAAGTAATCTGTTCATTAGGACGCATGCATACATATATAATGTTCATAAAGATGTACGTGGAGACCTATTGGAAGCACTCATTAAGAAAGCTAGGGAGATGGAATATGTGGAACGAACATGTCTGGTACCAAGTAATATATTTGCGGTAGCCATAATAATCATAGTCTCAGAGCTTAACATCAAAAAAGGAGGGAGGGTGGCGTTAGCTGATCAGTAGATATGGTGGGGGTCACTAAGGTGAATCGCACCATTCTGCAGGAACAGCAATATAAAATTTGAAGGCTCGAGATATTTCTGATTTTTATGAGGGCTTAGATCTTTATCTTGAAAAAGATAATAATGAACGCCTTGACAGATCATGCTTCTACCTTCAAATATATACTATTCGCTCAGCCTATTGTTGAGATGCGACCATGTGGGCTCTGCACAGATTTATGGGGCATCTTATAAACTAACTTGCTGTCCATTGACTGATCTTTAAATACCACTTCACAATGTCTTATCTCATTCATTTTCCAATAACGTCTTTACTTGATCCTCATTATATCCCATTAAACCTAACATTATACAGCTCTTTATGACTTATTATATTCCTACTCTCTGAAGGGTACGGTTGTACATTAAATGCATAAAAAGGTATAAAACAAAAACAACTGGCACAACTGAGGATAAATGTTTTAAAACCAAAAGTGGACATCATGATAGTACGAGATATACGTGTAGCATTATACATTACAAATGAACGTTGTCAGCCTAGGGAGTTTCCTTTATTAATGCATTTATTAGTGATACTTGCACTTACCCATTTCATTACACTTTATTGATTCGCCTTAGCACTTTTACTTATCTAAAACAGCTTTCAATCCCTTGTAAACGTTGTACTTACCTCAATTTTGGTTGGTTATCGTATGCCGACAACCACGGGATGAAAACGAAACGAAGTCCATTTTCCCGCTCAACCTGGAGGACAATTGTACAATTCAATAACTATACAGCCTAGTTCAGACAATGAGTGTAATATATATATATATCAAATATTTAACTGTTGAAACATTAATAACTTGTAGACAATCTACGATTTGATATTATATCATACTTGATCGTGTCTGTTAAAATGGCATGCATTTTCATGTGAATTTATATGTTTATATGAGAATATACATTATTATTATTATTATATAATTTGTATGTTTTAACCAATCACTGAGTGTGTGATTTTGGTTTACATTCAATGACATGAAGTAGAATGTTCAAACAGAAATATCGTATTATGTTACGAATGTCGCATTGAACTGTGGGAATATGTGAGAACACATTGTCTCTATCACACCCCTACACCATTACAGTAGACTATGTGCGTCGGTAGCACAGCGGTTAGGACGCTCGCCGACCATACACATGATCCGGGGTTCGAGCCCCGGCCGACGCATTCCTGTATCCCTCTAAGCCAGAAATAATGCTGGTAAAGAGGAAAGGTTGCGTATGGGCTAGTAACCCCATCCTGTAAAAATAAACACTGCTGCAGAAACTTCAGGCTAGTGGCTTGAAGGGGGAAAATGTGTGCTTAAAAAGAATACAGACGGATACACAATGACAACTGATATGTAAAACCTCAAAAAATGGATAAAGATAATTAGAACCAATGACAATAATAGTATTAAATTAGTGAATGAGCAGGTGGAGTGGTCGGAAGAGTAAGACCAGAGGGTTTTGACGGTTGAAAAAGACGTATTGACCTACTGATGGTGTGGCGTTTGAGTTTTAAAGTGATAGATGTTTCGACGCTGCCCCACTGTCTCTGCATCATTATCGAGCCTTCTCCTAAAGCTTTCCGAGGACGGTGCTGTTAAACAATTGCAAGGACGTCAAAATCTAGATGAAAAGAAGTGGGGGAGTGCTCGACTCTTAACCCCCTGATAATCCATCATCGGAGGGCCGCTACATCGTAGACCACAGTGGCCCTATGGTAGAACAACTTTAACTGGGCGACTCTAGTTATTTGTATTCTTGTTGGTAGATAGGTGTGAAAATAAATTTCTTCAGCCCTTCATCAGATGTTTTATTCTGAAGACACATCGCCCCCTTTATTACTCGTCTTTTGACCCTTTAAAAAGATCGCAGTCCTCCATGAGTAGCGGAGGTGCAGTCATATTATATAATTCAGCATCGAGTTCGGTGTATGTCTCGTACACCCTTAGATAAAGGTCATGAGTAGGCGCACCTGTGTATGCGTAAAGTGAAAACCACAAATGCCCTCGTAAAATTGCCTATTTAAACCACGCTTGTGTCAGTCTTTTCATTTGGAAGTAGACTCAAGTCGCGCTCTGGTTTGACGAAGGGAAATTTATCATCATAGCGAGTTACTTGAGCCCTGAGGCTTGCAGCTATGCACCTGCTTTACTTCGCATTTTGTGTAGGATGAAAGTTACAACATCAACCATTCCTGAGTCCTACATAATTTTAAGGTCTGTCTGCTACCAATCTGAGCCTTATTGTCCTCCAAATCTGTACGTAGTAAGTGCAGAAAACTGCCGAGAAATTTCTACGGAATGTTGACTCTTGTCAGCCAACTCTCAGAAACTGTCAATGTCCAGCTCTTACTACGCTGGGCCTGGGGGTGGAAGGTATTAGTTTCAGTGACTTCCTTGCCACTTTCCTGTTTGCTATTGCCTTATTAGATCTTATTCCTTTGTTTGGGCTTTTCTCCTCATCTAAGACTTTGGGCGGCAAAAATACATATTCAGCATTTTGGGCAGAGCTCTTAATCCAGATGATTTACCTTGGAGTGCCTTAGCATGATTCCATTGTAACAACAGAGGACAAGGACCAGGAAATCAACACATATAGATTTTCATATACATATTATAGATTGTTTTTAGCAGAAAACACAGTCTTCTGATTGGTTGTTTCTTACTTAAAGTTAACCTTGCATCTCTTTGTGGCTCTTTCTGGAATATCAGATCATCTATATGTTAGCTGCATCCGCCTACGAAAAGTCTTTGTTCTCATTTTTCTCACTACCAATGTTGGGGATATAAATATTGACGTAAATTACTGTATACCAACTTGGGCTCGCAGCCAGCTCTCACCACAATATGACCTACACACTTTGCAGTCAGAATGTCAAGCTCTAAAGCACCACACAAATTACGTTACTGTTAGCAATCAAACAGTGACTATTGTTCTAGTTGACTGTCCATGAACACTGGTACCTTAGGAAGGACGATGCAGTGATATAAGAATGATGATGCAGTCTGATCGGCTAACTTCAAACTTAGGTTACCCAGGCCTGCTACAGCACCACTCTATGGTTGTTGCTGGAAAATTCGTCACCAATATAAGTGGAGACCGGGGTCACGTCATTACAGAACACAAGGTCTAACCTGTTGTCACCATGGGTAGGTGCCTGGACGTGTTGTTTCCATCCGTAGGAATCAAAAGCGACAAGTAATCCGCCGAAACGTTGGGAGGCAGAAATGCTTGATCAGCTGACTCCTAGAGGATTGAAGTCCTCTGCAATTATTTTGTAATTAGTGCTGTACGAG